AACTGGGCTCGAAGTGCCTTGATTGAAACAATCGCCACGAGACCGGTCGCGCTAGTTCCGAGAATGTATATCGTCTGTTCTCTTTTGTTTAAAGCAGTATAGATTTTCGAGATCACCACCGTCCAATCGCGATTTTGAGCGAGTTCTGATGACGGCTTCGGGATGGACTGGCCAAGTGCTGCATACAAGCGTTCCAGAGTAACAAGGAGTACCGGGTTTTACAAATGGTGTGGCGCGACACACAACCGACTTGCTTTTTCTTTCCTGTGAACAACACTAGCCAGCCAGGGCAAGGAGACCTCGTCTGTGTCGAGGATTGTCTGAGTAAGCCCGTCGAGGGCGGCGAGGTGAAAGAGGGATTGGTCGGCGGATCTGTAAGTGAGTCGAGACCAGACCGATGTTTAGAAAGGCGTAGAGCCGCAGTGCAAGTTACAATGAGGAAGACTTCGAGAGACGGAGGACTTTGGAACTGGGCAGGAGGTTGCTGGGATTTCTGCTCGAGGTGGGAGAGGAGAATACGGGGGGCGGTGGCGTAGAAATTTGGTGATATACAGAATTGAGAATGCGAGCAGAAGTAGGATAGGGCCTCTAGGCGCGTGTCAAGAGGGAAGATATGTCGAGGATGGGACGAGGATAGAGTCGACAAGAAAGTGGTTCGAGCAGGTAGGTGATGGGTGGAAGTGGTCGAGGTGCGAGGTTGCAGAGAGATGATCCTCGCTTGTTCCTGGCTGCGGTGCAGTGCACTGACTACAATGGAGGACCGTAACTGGGAGAGGAGACTTGTGGCCGTCCGGCCGCGCTATGGGTGCTATGGGGAGCTTAGGGCTACGGGTGCTGGCCTGTGGGAACTGGCAGACTGGGTAGCAGTTGTACGGAGCAGAGCGAGCCCGCGGCGGCGGCGAGGGTCTCCGAACAAGTCTCAACGCCCGTGGCTTGCGGGTGGATCAACCAGAGAAAAAGTTCCCCCCTCAATACGGTCATTAGTGCGCCAGCAACCAGTTTACAAACAGGGCCTTTTCTTCACGGCTAGAATGGACTCTTTTATTCAGGCGTTGGATCTGTCTCGAGCAGCTGTGGTACGATTGATGGCGACACCGCGCAGAACCGCGCAAATTGAACAAACAGCCCACGGCCAACAACCAACAGTCATCAACTAGCAGGCCAGCATGGCGGTGTCCGTCGTCTTCAGCCGTCTATCTTTGTACCTACATATGACCGTCACGTTTTCAGATCCTAGTGTCTCGTTTTCAGCTTCACCAAATACACACCGGTGGTGACGGGGTTCCATCTGCAGTTGACCAGGGACCAAGATGCGCAGCTGCGGAAGTTAGCTACGCTACACAGCATTGCAAGGCAAGACAAAGCAAAGCAGGCCTATGGCCCGGAAAACAGGGTGAGAAAGCCAGCCAAGTTCATTTTCCACGATGCCTAATGCCTGAGGTCTTAGAATCCCCGTTGCCTGCTCACCCAGACCCCTAATCTCCCTGGCCCTGCTTCGCTCATCCTGACCGGTCTTTGGAGATGAGAATTGTGCGGTATACCACCACAATCTATACATAACAAGGTGGGTTATATACGGTATGCTCAGTAACAGTATATGTGCCCTGTCAGATTCCACTAGCGCGTCGCGTTCGATAGGATACCGCGTTGATTGCTTTTTGAAGAGGTTGATCATCCGTCTGAATGGCCAACATGGCGTCGCCAGGGTCACGGCCAGAAAGCAAATTCCAAACCTTCCCAATCATGCTTGGTCCAAACCACGAGTCCACGTTTTCGGATGAGATTGTCCAAAGGCTTGGTAGACACGGTAGGCCAATGTCGGATCTGCGCCTCAAAAACCCGATGAGTAAGACGCCCGCGATCCTTCCTCCTTTTTACCATACTCGTACACAACCCTTTTCGAGGGACGAGGGGTGTCAGCGGTGCTCAGCCTTGAATGTCCCTGCCGCCCTGCCTGCTGCCGGCTGGATGCAGACCGGTGATCTGAAAAGCTGTCTTAAGATTCTGACCGCCCAACACGCTGCCTGCTCGTGCCAATTATAGACCTAGCGCCCTCCTCCGCAATTTTGGGCACCGTTGCCACTAAGAGGCTAGGCTGACTTAACGGGCACACTGTAATGGTGTTGGTGTTTTGGTCTAGCGGAAGAACCCCTGAGACCATTAGAGAAAAGAAGTGGTGCGTGAGGCCCAATTCTACGAGACACCTAGAGCACGGGGCAGTCCTCGCTCCGTGCAGGAAGAGTGCTTCATCTTTTTTGGCGAGCAAGGCCACTTTCTTGTCGCCCCTATTCTTGAACTCTTCTATTTTGTTCACGGCGCATGTCCATGTTTACCTAGCTCGACCCACGTCCTTTAATATTAATACTCTGCAGCCTCGGATTTTCGGCTGTTGTGGTCCTCGCGAGCCATGAGTCGTTGGTGGGAACCGCATGATGGGAACGTATCAAAATAATAGCTTCAAGAGGTTGTTCTGTATACGACGGGACAACCATATCTGACCTTTGCACCAAATTGGTATTGGCTCTAATCACGGGCGCAGAATTGCACATCACGCCCACACCGACCAGCTATCCCGTACACATACCAGTACAAGGTATAGGTTCTTGATGTCTGGCTGCACGTGTAAGTATCTTTACTACCTGCGAGTATGTAGGAGGGCCAGTTGACCAATTGTGGGCACCGATTACGGCTTTTGGTCAACTGCTCAGTACATCTACGAGGTACTCAGTGCTCGTACTCATACAAGAACCGTGTATGTACCCCGTACTAGAGCTTAAGAGTCGCTTTTGCAGTCGCGAAACCTCAATGATTTGTGGAACCATCCGAAATTTGAGGACTAGGTCCAAGTTACCAATCTGACCGAATCACGCGCAGGAGCCAGGGTTTCTCAGATTCGAGGAGCTCTTGCACTGGACCGATCAGGTGTCTGGGGAGATGCCTGTGCGCTCTCCTCTGTACAACGAACTAAAAAGGACGGCTGCATGAGGTGGCTGTTGGTTCTCTGGTGGTTTGCTGCAGCCGATGCGTGACGAACATGCGTTTGATGGTAATCTTCAGCGTTTGTCTATGCCATTTCTGGAGAATGAGCGCCCTCCACGACCTCGTGGACCATGTGACGAACAAAGGAGTGGCATGGCAATAGCCTGTTGTTAGGGTTCTCGAAAGCACCAGTGGGACAAGTTACCAGTGGACCGGAAGACTCGGATTGGTAGATGCAGAACATGCAGAGCCCTTGGAACCGTTAAGGCCATTGACAATGAAAGATGCGCCCGGCCTGGGACGGGAACGACAACTGTCACTTGCATTGGTCTCCATTGGCACCAATGGGTTGAGATTGTGGTTGCAGCCTTTGCGTCATAGGATCTTCGTCCTGATTCTTTGCAAGATGTGTAGTAGTTTGGCAACACCCTCTTTGCACTGAACCTGTACCCATAGTGAACGTCGGACTCATCGCAGTAGTCGGTGGCCGGCAGGGAAATTGACCAAAGCAAATATTGCTTCAAAATGTCCCCCACCTACACAAGAACAACAATTTACTGGCCATTCCAGAGGTCTCCACCACGGAGAGACAATTTGCTTCGACAAGCGTTCGACGATGGAATACTCATGAAAACGACCCTGGCTCGGCTTCGACTTCTTTTCCTCATCTAGATCCGCCTGGAATGCTCGTGGGAGGGCCGATCTCGAGGGGGGTCCTGAGGCTGGTAGAGCTCGCCAATTATCATTATTCATTTTGCTTCTCAGTACTCCTGGAACTTGTAGGTGTTCGACGTGTGGAGAGGTTTTCTGGGTCTGGCATTGCCGATGACCCGGCGACACAGATTTAGCCGGTCATCGTTAGCTCGTGGGTAGTGATGGTCGGTGATGACCCGCCTGCGCTCGGTGTTCGCTGAGCTATTCTCTAGCACAGAAGATGAGGAAGGATGAGGAGGAAGGGCGACTCCCGGTAGGAGAAGGAGAAGAGCGAGGGAGATGACGAGAGATAAAAGAGCGAGTAGGAAGATGCTCGTGATTGCAGTTCAGGAGAAGGACTCTGAGCTAGCTGGGAGGTACAAAGTCTTGGGATTGGGATGCCACGGATGTCTCCCTCCCAGTAGGTACTCGGTACTTGGGTATCTATGCACTGAGTGCGCGGTGCTCTCAGTACTCCCCAGTTCTCCCCCCACATTTTTTGATTGTACCTAGGCAAGTAGTTTTAGGTGGTCTTGAAGCCTACAGGTAGTAGTAGCCCGTGGTCATGAGGGGGCCCTTTTTTGCCTTCGACAGGCCCTGCGAATTTCCCTGTCGGAAAAAGTCGTCCTGATCCTGAACTCGCAGAAACATTTTTTTAACCCTCATCTCCATCTTTCTCCGCCTGCGCTTCCTTTTCCTTTTGTCCCCCCTATCCTCCCCCGTTCCTTATATCTCTTTTTGTGTCGCCTGCCGCCTCCCGCTGCAGTGCGGGCTTTCCGTTCACGATCAGTCTTCCTCTCGCGCGGTACTCGTTTCTGTCAAACTGCCACCTGCGATCTGCGAGAATCCGAGCTCGGCTCCTGGTTGATCTGTAAGTCGCCTCACATTCTCTCCAGTCGCCTTCCATTCCCGTGGCCACCCCCGGGGGGCAATTCGACCGATCCTACAGAAGCCACCATTGGCTCGAGTTGGGCGAACCGATCCCTCGAGAAAAATGAACTCTCTCCCCACCCACATCCTCGCACCAAACCCAGCGTACCAGAATTTCCCCCAAAACCAAAGAACCGGACGGACCACACACATACACCACATGTCCAACCCCTCTTCCCTCCAAACCCGCAGGTTTTCTCTCTTTCGATCTCTAGCCAGTCGCATCCAGCCTAATCATTGTCCATTTGTCTGCAACTTCTAATCGACTCATCTATTCTATAGCTCGTCGTCGCCTTATAAGAATAAATACCCTCCCGTCACGGTCGACTCTATAATCTCGGTTGGAGGATCGCTCGAGTCTCTGCTGCAAAGAGGGATCGGATAGAAAATTGAGAGACATGTCGTTCTCATACGAGCCTCAAGGATGGCAGGCGCCGGTTCGGCAGCCTTCGTGGGAACAACCGCCTCCACCATCAAGATCAGGTGCGTGATTTCCGCATCTCACAAAAGACATTGCTTGAACCTGACAATTCCATCACAGGCGCCAGCTCCACCTCTCAACGCGAAGATGGCAACGCTTTTGCCATTCAATTCGAAGGTGCGATGATTGCCACTAGGAGCTGTCACTTCAAGGGACTGACGTGAGAAACCAGAGGTTGATAGGGCAATGGACAATCTTCTCAAAAGTGGCAAATTTTACGGCGGCGGCGGTGGTGGTGGTGGTGGTGGTGGACAACGCCCAATGCCAGGCGGCCCGATGCGCCCAGGGGTGGACTATGGTATGTGCTCTCAGTATTCTGCGCACAGTAGATGAGGAACTCATCCTATGCAGGTCCCCGAATGCACGGAGGCCGCCATCCTGTTGGCGACTTTGACCCCTCGCGTCCACACCCGGGCTCGAATCTCCAGAACTTTTATGCCGCGCAAAGGCATCAAGGCCGTCACAGCGATGCCGATCAAATGATGCAAGCTAAAAGGAGGATGGCAGCTCAGCGCGAGCGTGAGCTTCGCAACTATCACCAAGAACAGCAATACAATCGGAGTGAGCATCGCCTTCCCGGCCGTGCAACAGGGCACCACACTGAGACTGGAACAGGTCTACTGGCAGAAATGTCGTCCAACAAATCCGATCGTTCAATGAGCCCTAGCACATTGAGTGAGGAAGGTCGCCGGGAGCTGATTGCTCGTCAGCATCGCGCGTTGTACGGCGGTGATCCCGCGGCTTTTGTGGGACAAGTGCCGTTTTCCACCGAGGACACCAACCGAGATCAAGGGGGGCCGGTCTCGGGCAATGCACCCGGGGCTCCTCGTGGCCCTTCTCCTCGCACCTCTGATCCTTTTGGCGGGCCAGGTCAGGCCTCGCAAGGTGACTCCGGTTCTCAGGGCCCGTCCGCAGGTGCGGAAGCTTCTCGTGCTGAAAAGGCAACATCTCCATCCGCGCAATCTTCGGGTTTCGGTACGTTTGATGGTTCCATTCAAGCTTCTGGCAAGGTGCCCACGCCACCGACTGGTGAAGAGCCATCGCACTCACGGCAGATTTCCAAATCCACCACGGCCCCCGTCAGTGGCGGCATGGGGCCAATTGGCAGCCGTCCCAATGTGCAACAGGCACCTAACCAATCGATCAACAAGCGCACGACGTCCCCTCTGCCTTCTTCTTTGGGATACGGGTTCGGCTCTAATGAACAAAATGCTGATCGCGCAGGATCGGCCAACTCGAACTCGAATGCGCAGAAAGAGTCATCGAATTCCGGAATAGGTGCTTGGGGGACAGGCAGCGGAGTTTGGGGGTCCAACAAGATCGGTACAACCTCAGTTTGGGGTTAAATGACTTATGAAGACTACGACCTGGACATGACATGTTTTGTATGCGCGGAGTTGTGTTGCTCTTTGAAGCATATCTTCGGTGTACAGGGCATTGCATAGGTGGGAGTGCTTGTGGTTCGTTATGTACGTCGGGGTCTTCATGATGCTTCCACATAGCGTGCTCAGGGGAAGGGGATCCTTTTGCAGCGGTCTTTCAGTCGTTTAGCGTGTGGTCATGGTGCCTCAGCTATGATTGTGAGGTGACGGGGAGGAATGGAGATCTGGGCAACATGTCGATTATCCAAAAATCAAGGAGGGAATCTTACGGGTATTGGGCTGGTCTTCGGAGTCATTGACAATGGCATCGAAGCATGATGGGTGGCAATGGAGACAAAGAAATGGGTTTCTTTGGTTCGCGGCCGTGGGAGGGGTTTGCAGCACTTTCAACGGGGCAGTTGTTCGATGTGCTCTTCAGAGGAACATGGTTGGTGTCGACGTTCCCCTCTTGAAAGCATGGCGTTGAGGAAAGGGGGCTGGTTGGTGAGACGGTGATCCTCTTTTCCAAGAGCAAGAATCGAGGGGGGTGTTTTTCCTTTTTTCTTTTGACATCTGGACTCGGGTTATGGAGGGATCTGCATATGGAGGTTGTTCTTCACCATCGCGTAATCGTCGCTGCTCTTGGATATTTGTTGTTTTTGGTCTGGTATATTTGGTCTGGCTTTGGATTTGGGAAAGGTCAAAACTGCGCATTTACTACCCTGGAAAAGGAGGACCGAGTTGCAAAGGAGTCTCTTGAGGAGAAAAGGGAACGAACCCAGCAGAACCAGTGTTGATGGTATTCATATAAGGAGTGATATTGGCGGATGAATATGGCTACCGAGAGTCTGGAGGCAGTCGACTCCTTGTCATCCTTTTTTTTTTCCGATCAATTGTTCTGTCTGGTTTATGTCTTGTGTCCTTCCGTGGTCCTCGTGCTGTCATGGTTCTATCATTGGTTTGACACATTCAGCTCGTCGTAGATTCTCTCTGCCTCAATCTCCTTGTCCTGGTGGCCTTCACCCGTCGCAACCCAGTCCGCAACGCCTGGTTTTCAATGCCACTCGACCGCCTGACCCTTCTGGCTACTCAGGCGCACCAGCTCGATTAGCCGGATACCGTCGCGCGACTGCTCGGGCTTGACGGCGATGTCGGCCTGGCCGCGCACGGCGTCCCTCAGGTTCTCGTAGAAGCCCAGCCAGTGGCCCGGGACGGTCGGGTAGCGGCCCACGAACAGCTTGAAGTCCGGCTCGTAGATCTGGTGCGCGTGGTCGAAGGCGTGCTCGCCCTTGGTCGTCAGCAGGCCGTACAGGTGCGGTGGTTCATGGCCGAAGTTTGGGTCCGTCGCCGGCATGGACGGCGTCGAGAGGATCTGTTCTTCTTGGATGCATGTGCCGTGCTTTCCCGTGATGAGAGATGTTAGATGACATGTAACAGGAGAGGGAGAGATGGAAGAAGGAGAAAGATGGGGAGGGCAGAGGAAAAGAGAGAATTACCTTGACAAACGACCCTTTCGTGCCCCGGACAAAGTACTTCAGCTGGTCCTTCATCGTCGACACCACCATCGTCTTCACCGTCACCAGCAGCTCCTGCTGCGGTCCGTCGTACTGTAAGATCGCCGTGAAGCTGTCCTCGATCTCGCTGTCGATGCCGCGGAGCACGCGCAGGAACCCCGTCACCGACTTGGGCCGCCCGAAGAGCAGCAGGGCTTGGTCGAGCGTGTGGCTTCCTGGCAGAGGGGAACCCCGCGTCGTTAGAATGGTTACACGAACAACGATCAATCTTGAATCCAGCTCTTGGGTGGCACACAACCACCCTTTTCCCTGAACAAGGGAACGGCGGGACATGCGCCCAAAGGAAAGGTTGTGGTTGTGTGATGAAATGAGCAAACGAGAAGAGGGAGAAAAAAGGAAAAAGATATACCTAGACCAAAAGTCATGCCGTCTCCCGGCGAATACTCCTTCTTATTCATGCCTCGCATCCAAAACGGAAAGTCGACGTCGTAGTGGATCTCGCATTCTTTGATGGTCCCAAAGGCGTCCTTGTCGAGCAGGTGGCGGAGAGTGAGGAAGTCGTTGTCCTAGAGAAACGAAAAAGCCCGTTGGTATCTGGTGGGGAAAGATTCCATCCTTTGCGCCTCCGGCCAGAGAGGGGGTGGGGGGGGGATATGGAGAGAAGATACCACCTCGTTGAATGTGATACAAGGACGACGGGGCTATCCTTGCAAGTGATTTACTTACCCATCTTCGATTTTGGAAAACTGTCAAGATCTTGCCAGTCTTCTTTGCCAGGGAGATGAGGTGATCGGCCTCTTCTGTCGTCCGGGTGAAAGGCTTTTCTACAACAACTGTTTTCACAATATCCCCAATAGATGTTTAGAACCTCTCGTCGTGTGTGGGATCAAAACTCCCATAGGGACAGTCTCGGGGGAGAATGTGGGAGAGAAACGCATACCGTGCTTCCCAGCGTTCAGGGCCTTCTCGGCATACTCTGCATGCGTATCCTGCTTGCTGCACACAATCACCACGTCGATGTCCTTGTCGGCGAAGAAGTTGTCTGCGCTGCGATAGTGCTTGACGCTGGGGTAGTCGACCGTGCAATGCGAGCCGGGTTCTGCGGTCTTGGGATCCTTTGGCGCCTCAGTTCGTTGGAAGAAGGCGACCACCTTGAAGTCCGGGCACGCGTTGATGAACGGCAGATGGAAGCATTTGGCGGAGAAGCCATAGCCTATGACGCCGAGACGAATTGGCTCCATTGATGTTGTCAAGCCTGAATACTTACAGTATATCGATCGGATGTCACAGTTGTCGTGTCAGACACAAACCTTGAGATATGTCCAGTCTGATCGTATTCGTTTTGAGGCAAAGACAATATTATCAGGGCACTCAAGATGCAGTTGGGTGTTTTAGTCCCTCGTTCACTCTTCTCGGCCCATAATCGCCTGATGTCGTGTATGTACGCTCTGTATTCCGTACGCGATCCGGCTAAATGCAGCCAGTAATTCAGCCGCTCGGAGAGACACCGTGGGGTGACGATTTGGAGTTGTTCGTTCACAAAGACAAGTCGTCCTCGGTATCTCTGCCGACCCGGGCCCGGGGTTAGCGCGCAGTTCTTTTACTCCAGGTACGAAGGACCTGGACACGCTAGGCAGATCGATCGAGGCTGTCTAGATCTGCATTCACATCTGTAAAAGTGTTAGAAGTCCTCTTGGGGTGTTCTCGCACGCTGCGGATGCAGGGTCTCCATTGAGATGCCGGCGAAAGTGGCAACGAAGCACACAGGCTTTCCTTGCTCACAATAAGCGGCTACCATATCGAAGCAGCGATGCAGTGGCACCAACTCTGGGAGAGCGACACATTCATTTCCAGTAATTGCATTCGATATTTTCAACAGACAGTTCATTTCTTTGGAGGCTTGGACCGCTGCGTACAGCATGAGGTGGAATGTTTGATGGACTTTTGGAGACGGGTCATGGTCGGCGTGTCAACATGGCTACCAGTCTTCATTCACAGGTAGGGATGTATCTTTGTGCTGTTAGCAAAGGAGGGACCAGAAAAAGTAGTCATGGAAGAACGTCGAATTCCTGGGACAGAATTCGAGGGAAGTCCTGGAATATCCAACATGTTCGCTCCGGACGATGGTGTGGTACGACGCCCTGCTCCTATCAAGTGGATCTTCATCTCGGGATGTCCATGCTTTTGTTGACTGATAACTGTTGAGACATGCAGACGTACAACCTTGGCAAGATTGTGTAAAAGTGATCGGTGGTTGTAGATTTAACCAAGTTTGCAGTCAACGCAATACGCGAGAGCAACAGCAAAGCAAGACAGCACTTCATCGGTGTAAGGCAGCAAAGAATTCCTCCATCAACGCGTGGACTTGATGCAGGAGAATCAACAAATCATACCTGACATTCAGCTGAGGCGAAAAAGTCAATAGACACTGGGTGGTGGCTGCGTTGAGGGTGGCATGACATTTCTGCTCGGCGCAGAATCTATAGGCCGATGCCGGGTCGTCTAAGCTAGGGTACTGGTATGTCACAGACCATGTCTTGCCATGACCTTGACATGGATCATGCATGTTGGGTTCTGGAAGGGAGAAGAAGACCGGACGCAGGGAGACATGTGCAGTATTCCTTCAGACGATGCGATGGAAGCCGCGGTTCATCCTCCTCGTGGCTCGTGAATGCATTCTCGGATTGCTGTCCTTCTAAGCCCTGATAGGTCTCTGAAGGGCGACATCTGGGGAAAGACCCGACTCAACAGTTTTCCATCACCTGTGATAGGATGCGAGTGTTGTGGATACGAGCGCTCGGGTTCATCTGAGGAAAGCCTCCAAGCCCAAGTGACATGTGAACGATTCACACCAGTTTTCCAGGGACCGAAGGCTTTGAATCTCCAGGATTGATAAGCTGATATCGCTGGGACACCATGCCTGAAAGGGCGGACCGGGAAAAGGGCCACGAAGCGCGCTCTCCGAGTGGTTGCACTCGTGTCGTCACGTAAAGGGAGACGCGAGAATCCCAAACCGATATCTGACCACCTCCCCGTGTCGAGGCAAAACATCTTAAGATCCAGAAGTTCTAGAATGTCGTGTTCGGACGGGAGGATTTTCCCATTCTATTTCTTGGGCACCGCTTGGCCGCCAGCCTCTTGCGATGGCTTGAATGGCTACTGGATGCAGTCCAAGAATCCCTGGCCAAGACCAGAGGAAGAATCCCATTCCGCTCTTGGCGCTTTGGCTTGGCATGGCCGCTAGGGATCTTGATCTCTCGGCGCTCGGGTCCACCGTTACATTTTCTCTTCTACCAAGATATGCTTTTGATTGTCTTTTTCACCCGTGCCAGCCTGATTAAGCACATGCTCCGTGCATGGCACACGTTTGCCTAGATCTTAGAAAGCACATTTGCAATTGCCATATTCTGCCTTCCCCTTGACCGATCATCTGAAGGTGCATGTACTTGCAGCAAAAATACACACTGAGTGACCTCATTGGTCTCAAAACTTATCTGTCCATGCGGGAGCATTTCCGCATCAGATGTGGGTGCCACCGACTCAGGGGCTTGTGCCAACTCTGTCACTCCTGCTCCCGCCTCTGCCTTGCCTGCAGAACCTGTTCCCATCACATCTTCTCCGGACCCAACCTGGACAACTCGAGCAATCCTCCTCGTGCCAAGCACAGCCACATCATTCGGCAGTACCTGACGGCATCCTGGACTGGGGAGATTGTCCTATTACATCGTTGCTTGTATCCTTTTGGTGTTGTAAGTCGATCCCGCCATGCCATCATTCCGTATGGTGGTGACGACTTTGGACACAGACGCCTGGTATGCCCAGACAGTCCTTTCTGAATCATCCCTTTTGTCCGAACAGACGAGATTAGCAAGGTGATAGAGGCTGGTCAAAACGTTGAGGGGTGAGCTCATCTAAATGCCGTGGCGAAAACGGACGGGACATATGGTGAGTGGACCTGGGGAGAGAGCCTGGAGCAATGCGGAGCAAGGCGAGTTACACGGGGAAGTGGACAATCGCCCTCTCTTGTGTCCCTCCCTCATCAGCGGTGAGTGCTCCCATCGGGCGTCTATATATTGTCTGCTGTGACCCAGCCGACTGTTCAATTTCCTACGTGGCTTCCCATCTCTTTGTGCTCTCTAGTTGTTTCCTACGACACTTTAGTCTGTGATTGCTGTTACACAGAACCAGGTGGCCGGTACATCTCTCTCTCTTCCTACGAAACATCTTCCATTATCCACATCAGAAGACAAGATGAGTACCACACAGGTTGAGATCCCCATCGAGAGCCCCGACAGCAAAGATGTCGGAGCAAAGATTGAGATGCTGGAATCGGCATCCTCGAGCTCCCAGGACTTGGGCTTCGATGTCAAGGCCACCAAGAAGCTGATCAGGAAGATTGACTGGACGCTTCTCCCATTCCTCTCCCTCCTCTATCTTCTCAGCTTCCTCGACCGCACCAACATTGGAAACGCCCGGCTCGCCGGTCTCGAGGAGGACCTTGGAATGTCTGGCTTGGACTATAATGTATACTCAAACCTGGCCCCTGCATATGTTATCATGCTCACAATGGTATAGGTGGCCCTGTCTATCTTCTTTCCCTTCTACGTCCTTGTCGAGCCACTCTCCAATCTCATGATGAAGCGGACACGACCTTCAATTTGGATTCCATCTATCATGGTTGCATGGGGAGTCTGCACAACTCTCATGGGTCTTGTTGAGAACTTTCCCGGACTTCTCGCTGCTCGTGCTGCATTGGGCATTGCAGAAGGTGGTCTATTTCCCGGCGTGACCTTCTACATCACCATGTGGTACAAGCGCCATGAATGTGGTCTCAGGATGGTGAGTGCTGGCCGCAGCTACTTCACTGCCTACACTCCGCTGTATTGCTTTGTCTGACCGCCGCATCTACAGGCTATCTTTTTCTCTGCAGCCACGGCCGCGGGTGCTTTTGGTGGTCTCTTGGCACGTGGCATCATCGAAATGGATGGAGTCGGTGGGAAGGCTGGGTAGGTTGGGCCTCAAACACATGCTGTGAGTTGCGAAAATGGCTTACAAGAATGCAGGTGGTCTTGGATCTTCATCCTCGAGGGCCTTTTGACTCTTGCTGTTGGTGAGTTCCAATCTTTTAATGGCAATCGAACCAGGACGTAAGCTAATGTGTCCGTATCAGCTATCGTTGCGTTCTGGACCATGAACGACTATCCTTCCACTGCAAAGTTCCTTGCTCCGGAGGAACGACACGAAGTATCTCGACGTCTAGAACGAGACCGAAGCTCCCTTGCCGATGAGTTCAACATGAAATATTGCTGGGATGCTCTCAAGGATTGGAAGATCTGGGTTCATATGTTTATTACCATTGGGTAAGCCGCACATTGCAGGTCTAACCTACGCCCACTGACCGGACTCTAGCATCTATACTCCTTTGTACTCGGTCTCGCTCTTCTTGCCGACAATCGTCAAGACATTGAACTACACGAACGAGACTGCACAGCTCATGACGGTTCCGCCATACATTGTCGCCTGCTTCTGCTGCATCACCGGAGGTTATGCCGCCGACAGGCTCAAGACGCGCGGGCTTTTTATGATCGGGTTCAACTTCACAGCGTTGATCGGCCTCATCATGCTTATTTCATCCCAGAATCCTCACGTCAAATACGCTGGGTGCTTTTTCTTCGTGGCGGGAATTTATCCTAATGTTCCCCAAGGTGTTGCCTGGAACGGCAATAATATTGGTGGTTCTCTCAAGAGAGCAGTGGGCATTGCGATGCATGTGGGCTTTGGTAAGTTTTTGCCCCCTGTTGGAGAGTCCGAAGGCGATAAATATTCCCCCCTGGAATTCCAACATAACTCTGACGCTGCGTCCTCCTAGGCAACCTCGGTGGCGCCATTGCCGGATTCATCTACCTCAGTTCCGACTCTCCCAAGTTCATCAAGGGTCACGCCATCTTGATCGGCATGCTCACCATGAGCACGTGCCTGCAGGTCTTCATGACCATTTACCTGCGGCGTGAAAACGCCCGCCGAGACCGCGAGTATAAACCCCTCGAGCAGTACACCGAGATGGACAAGTTCGCCGAGAGGGAGAAGGGCGACAACGCTACCTTCTTCCGTTACACCGTTTGAGTTGATTGATTGATGTTCGGGCGATATTTTCAGGTGTTGGAATGCATGCACAGACAGCATGGCTGATGAGTTTAGATAAGAGGGGATGAAAATACCATAGGCGGGCACGGAATAGACAGCCCCCCGTGTAAGACGGGCCTTTCCAGAATGGGATTCCAATTCGTGAAAGAATAGCACATGGCATTTGACCCTTCTTTCCCTTTGGTGCTCGACACTTTGCTCCGTACAAAGGGCTGGCTTCGCTCAAAAGGCGGTGCGCCGTGCTTGCGCAGGACACGTCCGAGGGAGAAGATACAATTGGACGAATAATTCACCGATCAACTTAATCGCGGACAGGAGCGCAGTACGTGGGACACTTATATCTGAAACGCAGCGGCACTTGCGCCTGACATTTCCAGACGAGATTCTGTCAAGGTTGCCATGGAGGCTCAAGACATCAAAGTCAACCGGGTCTATTTGGTATCGTGCATGGATTCGCGGACTCCTGGCGTCGCTGCAGCAGCAAAAATGATGTAAGAACGAGGCGGCTGAGAGTAGCAGTGAGATCTCCAAAGTCGTTCGACAGTGTCCTCATTTCGGTGCGAGAGAGGGCCCTATGCTTCGACAGTATTGCGAACGTGGTATGGTCTTTTACGGACAGCTGGGATGAACATCAACGCAACCACGGGAAACATCACGAAGGGGATGATATCAGAGGCGCTGTTAGCTTGGGAAAAGTTGGAAGATAAAAGGCAAAGTGATAATTATGGTGCCAAAGTTCCCGTTGATACGACATGCATGGTTCCTAACTTCCTCTTGCCAAAGTCATGGTCTCGGGAGTCGGTGTATCAGCTCGGTGAGGCTGAGGAGGATGCAACCAGGGAGAAAGGGGGGGAAGGAGGAAAGGGGTTGATATTACCAGATAAGGATCTATAAGCGAGAAGCTTGGCATGAAAAAGCTTAAACACACAAACTCTGAGCGGTTCCACGTGATTGGCAAAACCCCACTTTCTGAGTGGCTGTGCCGTTACCAACTTCGCATCACCATCATTCCTCAATCCCACGAATAATGTATGCCAAAGGGCCTCACTCGAAACATGACCTCAGACTCGCCGCCGGCCACTCACGTTACAGCAGATACTCCAAAATAGCCCCTACCATTCCGCAAACATGCTAAGCGCGAACTACTTTTGATTCCTCGGGCCCATCCAACGCCTTACTTGGCAACACTTGCAGTGCGTGAAGGCGGGTAATCAGCGAAGTTCTCACACACTCTTTCTTTTTCCATAGCGCCACATCGTTACCTTTTCCCTTTCTGAACGCTGACTAGAACGGTGTACAGGGACGTTGCAAGACGCAGACACTTTCCGACGATACCACAGGAACCAAATCCGCCCAAAGTATCGCCTGCAGCTCGGCTCACTGCTCGTCTAGCGCAATTCCCATGCGCCAAACGACCATCTTGCCCCTCTGCAGGTTCAAACGATCCACCCCCTGAACCTCGTGCGCCAGCCAGTCGAGGAACAGAGCCTCGCAGTTCGCGCGACGCAAACTCCCTCAGTTCCAACCCCTGCCTCTGGCCTATATTATCACGGTCAATCGCCCTCCTACACCATGGCGACTCATTACCGCATTCCAGAAAAAGAGCCTTTGCTCGCCGCTCATTCCAGGCGCCCCCAGCAGGGAGGTGAATCCTCTTCTCACACTCATTTAGAGAAACAGTCGGATCCGCCATCTTTTCCACAGTCTACTCCTTTAAGTCCTCGTCGCTGGGGCAAAGACAATCATTTGTTTTCACTTTCGTTGCAAACTCAGATTTTACTCGGAATCATGGTCGCCATTCCCACGTATCTCTTGGCCTCGTCGGCCGTGTCCAGCCTGGGGCCGCTGACCCCTCGTAATTCGGTTATACGATCACCGGACCCATCGCCACAGTCATCTTCGTCAACTCTATTGTCGGACCCTGATTCCTCGAGTCCTTTCGCCTCTATCCTGGGACCTCACATCTCATCCAATTTCCCTGACCCTGCTATCATTTATGTTGACGGCGTGTCGTATGCTTTTGCGACCAATAACCGGGCCGCGCCGCCGGATCTGGTCCACGTTCAGGTGGCCACGTCAACGGACAATCAGACGTGGACCCTGCTCGATCATCATGACGCTCTCCCTACTCTAGGGTCATGGGAGACAGGCGCTGGTGTTTGGGCCCCGGATGTGGTTCAATTGGTGAGCAACGCGGAACATATCATTCAGGGTTCAGAGTCTAATATTCGAGGCAGGATGATGGATCATTTGTCCTCTACTATTCGGATAATGTCGTCTGGTCCCCTGCACATCACTGTGTGGGTGCAGCAACTTCTCAGAATGTTCTGGGACCCTATGTCCCACTTAACACTCCTTTCGCTTGCCCGGACGTCAACGCGCTCGGTGGGGCTATCGACCCCGACGGCTTCCTCGATGAGTCTACCAACAAGCGATATGTCGTCTACAAAGTCGATGGAAACTCCATTGGCCACGGCGGCTCCTGTGGCAACAGCGTTGAACCCATCGTCGCAACACCTCTCATGCTCCAGGAGGTCGGCCCTGACGGCATCACTCTCATTGGAGATGCTGTTCAGATTCTGGATCGCGACGAGCTTGACGGCCCATTGATCGAGGCGCCGGCACTCCATCGTTCCGACGAAGGAATCTACTTCTTGTTCTTCAGCAGCAACTGCTTTACGACACCTAAATACGACGTCTCTTATGCTACTGCGACGAACATTTGGGGCCCTTACACGAAATCAAGCCGTCCATTGCTTGTTACTAGCGATGCAGACCTCACTGGACCTGGTGGAATGGACATCATCAAGGGCGGCAATATGATTCTCTTCCATGGTCATATGACCATCAACAACGACCCCACGATCAAGAAAGAGGCAGAGACCCTTGCAGCCTCAAAGAACACCACGATCAATAAAGTGAACCTGCCTTTAGTCCGAGGTATGTGGTCTGGCACCACAACCTTCCAAGGCACAGACGTCTTACTATCGTGATCATTCCTCCTGGGCCACCACTATTTCTATACACTTTCCTATACTACGTCTCTTTGGTCATTCTGTTGCAGCGTTCAAGCGAACCTTGTTTTTGTGTCTATGGAACATATACCGTTTGAGGTGGCATCCTGGTTTGAGCTTGATGAAGCAAGTGTGCGAACATCAAGGTTTTTATATGAGGAACGAGATCAAAATCAGAGCATAGAAGCTGGAGAATATGTAACATTACCTAACACTTTGACATGAATTATGGAAATAAACTCGTGCTTTGCATGCTCGTAGATATGGGATGTCCGCTTAGAGCACTCTAGATCCTCTAAGACGTTTACGGTTAGAGGATAATAGAGACTAACAACTAAAGAGGCAAGTTCGCCGATGCCAATCCAAAGCTGGCTCCCGTAATTTTCATGCTCCGTATATTTTCGACTGCGCTGCTAGTACTTGAGTAACAACAATTCCACGTCTTTTCTATTCTTGTGGATATATCGCGTTGTGTCTACAGCGACGCTTTGCGCGTCTCCAATGATCTCCTTACCAAATCCTTAGTCCACACTGCCCACACAATTCGCGGCAATATGCCTCCCCGAATATCTCCCACCGCAGTCTCTCGAACCTTTCCGACCACACCCACAATCCACACTCATTGCAAATCATGCTTCCAGCGAGCCTTTTCCTCAACCCCTTCGCAGTCCCAGACTAAACTCCGAGAGCAATTCTGGCTATGGCTCCGCGGACCCGGAGAGAACTTCCGCCACCCCCTTCCGGGGTCGACGAATTACCTGTCTGCATACGACAAGAGAGGAAACCTCATTCGCGGCAGAGGCCAAGAGCCGTCAGGAGAGTCCGTAAAGGAAAAGAGCCCGGACGATGCCGTGACGGCCGATGAAGAAGCTCTCGAAGCAGCTGTTGCGGAACATGAGCAGGAATACAAGCTCCCTAAAGAGTCTCTGGATGATCTACGGCCGTTTCCCTGGAACAAGAATTTTGTGAGCCAGAGTATTCTGTCCGAGGATCTCAGAACCGAGATCTGGGAACGAGTGCAACGACAGGGCAAGTCGGTGAGGCAGGTTTCGATGGAGATGGGCGTGGATATGAGAAGGGTAGCCGCAGTGGTGAGGCTGGTAGAGGTCGAAAGGAGGATGAGGACAGAGGTAAGCACATCTTTCGCCTTCACTTGCGCTTCTCGACGGCCTTCCTGTGATGAACAACCAGATCGATTAGTCTTCCAGACTTCCAAGCATGGTGATTTCCAAACCAAATTACAACTCTCTGAATTTGCAAAGGCACAAACACAGCACAGTACTCCTTCGTTTTACTTTCTGAAGATCAAAGCTGACGTTGTGTTTCTGTTGCCTTCCAGGGCAAACCTCTCGCTATCCCGTACGCTCGTGCCGTCCACGGTATGGTGCCGCTCACGACTCTCAACCCAACGACGCGCTTGCCCCACGAGCCTCATGAGTCTATCAATGATTTAGAACAGCATCCCCTCACCTTTCCACAAATCTTCTATCCAGCCTCGGAGTCACGTGCCTTCAACCGTACCGATGCAGGAAGAGTGTTTAGTGGTGCACCACGACTTACCGATGAGCGAGAGAACGCCATCAATGAAGGAGTCCACGAGGCGTGGCGGGATTCCAAACCCGAGATTATTGGCCGACCGGGCCATACACGCACAGTGTTGAAACCAGCAGACTCACGCATTCCACATCCGCATTTGATCGCATTTGAGAAGGACAAACTGAACCGCTCGCTCACGCCACTCGAGAGACGCGCACGCCATCGTGAGCGCTTGCAGAAGGATGAAGAGAGACGGCGAGCTCTGAAGGAAAAGTTGCAGCAGGAGGAGGAAAGCAAGAAGACGAGGATTGACGTGGGCAGGTGGCAGTTTGTGGTCACAGAAGTACAGAGTACCCGACAAGGAACCGGTCTGGATGGCCGGGGCTCTGGTAAGGGCGCGGTGGGCCAAAGATACGGTGTGCCCAGCCAGGAGAGGAAGAAGGGCCAAGTCAAGATTCCTGTCAAAGTGGATGTGTAGGTCTGGAGACGACGTTGAGGGCCATTGAGCGGACACCGGATCCAAACTCTAGACAATGAGTGCGTGGACAGTCAAGGGGCAGGGTCTGAAAAGCGACATTCTTATGTTGCTGAGAAACCCCTGGTCCAGATCGAGGTTGACCGTGAGCGACGTCTACAGAACAGGTCAGGATATTGTCCTGTGCACGCGCCGTCCCGATCTTCGTGGTCACGTCTCTTTGGTTTCCCCACTGGTCGATGGGTGATTGTGACTATGACTGACTGTGCATGGCATATCAATCTATCTATCTTATCACACAGCCAACACCCGAGGTCCTCGCCCAGACTTTTGCGATGGATTAGGTATATGTACATTATGCCGTGGCGTGGAGCGTGGAGCATTGTCTGCCAGCCCGGCCCTGCCCATCCTCGTTTCGAGGCTCGACCGGCCGAGATCGATACGCCGCGCTAGATTCTTTGTATAGTACAAAACAAATCATTTCAATGTCAATCGATCGATACCTAGCTAAGGATGTATGTGTGTAGGTATTGAAGGTACCTAGACCGATGCCTACTACATAGTCTATGTACAGCATATGGAACTGAGCATTAATCAAGTAAGTGGTTAACCTGACTGACTTGTTTGAACACTTGGGGGTTTCTTTTCCCTTCTTATTGTTCTTCAGGTCATTCCATTACATGTTGCATTACGAGGTATATCTTGCATTCATGGAAGAAAACGTCACAAAAGTCGTGTGCGCGCAATAAAGCGTGTGTGGTGGCAAGGCGTGATTCATCAAATCCCCCCCCCCTCCCCCCCCTCCCCAAAAGGCGTGGTAGGACGACATGTGTAGACCACCCTGGGTATGTAATATGTGGTTGGTATGTCTGTCCCTTTGTGAATTGGGTCGTTGTTCGTTCTGACCCGTTCCTTTCCTTTGTGTTTCCGCCTGTCCTGTCCCGTCCTATCCCATTCCACCCCAGCCTGTCCGACCCAGTCCTGTCCTGGTCTAGGTATGGGTAATCCAATCAATCCTGTGCGGAAGAAAGCTCAAACCTTCACACAAACTCCTGTTCGCCTACCGCGGCGGCGGTATGAGTGTGCATAACCCGTAGACGGCTTCCTTCGTTGGCAGACGCTGGATGTGCGCCGTGTTCTGTTAGATGCTGGAGACGTGTTCCCAAGGCGTCATTTCTCATGGACACCTGCCATTCTGTGTCGGTCTTGCTCCGATGGTTCTTGGACCGTAATGTGAGATGGCCAATGGCGTCTCTGTTATCAAGCCAAATGTTGCAACAATCAGGTGTCGTGGCCTTGGCGTCTGTTCCCTTTGAAGCATTACTAGGAACAACCGAATATGAAAGTCTCTGACCTTCTCGGTAACACGACTCCCAAGTCAAATGTCCCATCACGGACCTTGATCGCAATGTGGCTGTTGCTACACCTCATCCATATCCAGCTTCTCACTCATCCCGCCGGACCTCGAACCGCGACTGCTCGGTTTCGCAAGCAGCTTCTTCTTGGTGAGCTTCCCGCAAAGTACCGCCATGATGCTCGGCAACGGGTCCCTCGCCTCTGGCAACACTAGCAACAAAAACACAATTGCCACCCCGGCGGTCGCAGGCAAAAGCCCGTAAAAATAATGTGCTCCAGGGGCAAAGTCGTGTGGTAGGCTAAATATTGCACATGACAGTGCAAAGGGAGCGTAGATGAGGGCGATGATAGTCAGGTAACGTGAGTAGTCTGCTTGCCGCTGAGATTCAATCTCTATTGAGCGGAGCGAGGATGTATCTTGGCATTGGGAGACGGCAAGGATGTGCTGCATTTTCGAGTCGCACTCGGCTCTATAGTGGTGCAGATCAATCAAGAGACTGCGGTAGTCTTCATTCAACTCCGAGTCTGAGGAGAGGTAGGTCTTTATCCGCGTCATGATGGGTTTGTACCTGCTGAGCATCGAGTCGAGCGAAATCACCTTGTCAAGGATTCTCTTGGTCTTTGTGGGATCGACTGTGAGGGCTGTGGAAATTAGGTGACTCTCCAGTGTTGACCGAATGTAGTCGAAGAAGTTGGTGTATTCGCTAGCTGCAATTTGGAATGCTGGCCGCATAATATGGATCAGGTTTTGCTCGGCTGGATTGAGGAGCCCATCCCGGGCCATAATCTGCCAATGCCGGCACAGATCGTCAAAAGGGTTGGGGCACATTGGCCTAGCACCACATGCGCGATAGTCGTGATCGTTCCTGTTCAATGGTGGCTTTTGCTCACGGAAGTCAAGATAACCTCCTTGGTAACCAGCAACTTCAAGACGTTGACTGGGAGAGTAGGCGCCGTATGGTTCTGCTCCGAGGGTGAAGAAGGAGATTGGCGGGTCAACAAGCACAACGCCTTCGATATACTTAGCACCGATTTCGACGAGAAACAGGAGGAAGACTTACATATCCATGGATCCAGAGTCTTCTTCATGTAAAACGAGATCTTTCGACGAGCCACAGCGACCTTCTGCCTTCCGTGTTTCGAACAAACTTCCACTCGTCTGTGATAGTTTCCCTTGCAGTAGAGCTTCTCGATGTCGACATCCTTTCCGCAATTCGTCGTCATGAACGTACAAGGGTATTCGATCGTAAAAAAGTTCTTCTGGTGCTTGAGGTTTTGTGATGCCAACGGAGATCCTGTGTGCCCATCTCCCGCGCCGCCAGTCGCCGAGTCACTAATATGTGATGCGAAAAATGCAGGCTCAATGTTGAGGAGGCTGCCAAGGGTGTCTACCATCTCCGGGTTGATATTGTTGACCATAATGATCCGCCCCTGAGCAGCTCGTCCTTGAGAACCAGAAGCTGGCGATGTAGGTGGCGTTTCAGGCGTCCTTCTCGTCCATTCCTTCAACAGCACTCTGAGTTTCGATGTGTCTGTAAGATCCGACGTTCTGAAACTCGACGTGCCAAATTCCAGGAGAATAGCTGTTGCTCGCTGAGGCCGCTGCATCGTCGGCATTCGGCTGGCCTGGACACCCCATTGGAGAAACTCGTCAAGCCCAGCAAGATTATGAAATCCATGGCTACGGAGGAAGCACACATAGTCTGTAAACGTCCAACGGTTTGGATCCGGTGGTGCCATCGTACATGTGGCACAGCCTTGCACTCGATGGACAGAAGTCATCACATTGAAAAGCTGCTTGCCTTCTGGGTTAGAAGCGAACACAAGGTGTGAAGGGACGGGATTGCTGGGGAGTCGAGGTGATGGGAGAAACAAAGACTCTAGAAGAGCTACCAAGAACTTGAGATGCAAAAGCCGGCTGGCCCGGTTGTAGCGTACGGACGGAAGTCAAAACTGGTTCAAGATGGACAGCTGCATGGAGTTGAACGTGAAATGTAGACGGCTGGGGAGCATGGAGGCCACACCCTTGAGTGTCCCAGGTTGATGATTGGCTAGCCTCGAAGAGGATTCGCTTAGGAAATCCCATTATCACTGGGACGACCTCCTGCGACCGACAATAAAGTTCTGGCGCCATTGAACAACGAGCTTGTCTCGGGAACTCGTGGTGCTATACATTGAATCTGTGGGTTCAAGCCATTATCTGCAGTTCGATGGTTGACGCCACGATCGTCTCAGCTATTCACGCTCAAGCACCTCGTACATTCTTGTTTTTGTGCCGAAGTTCCTCTGGGCTCTAGGAGCACCCTTACTGGCTGTAGGTAGTAGGTAGGTCAGGCCGCCGTCGACACGAGTAAGCCCGTCGCAAGGAATAGTTGGCCACTATTGGCGAAAGAACCTGGCAAGCAGCTTTCCTGCCACCTGCATGGAATGGGCGATGCGAGGCTAGCTTAAGCGGGAGGTGGACGGCGCTGACGAACAAATCACGGAGGTGGAAAGGGACAAGCTGTGGAGAAGGATGGCGCGAGAAGCTTGCTGGGTGGTCCGAACTCCCAGCCACCCAAGACGCTGTTCCAGATAGATTGAATTCTGCTGTGAGACAGTCATGCGCCAGGATGTACGAATCGACTGATTGTGGACTTCACATGATGCCCATTATAGTAAGAATGGCCTTGTCATGACAGGGAGCAGGGATGCGATGAGTAACAATAGGTACGAGATTGATGAATGCTGTAGGTGAGGTTGGGAGCCGTGGGAGCCTAAGAGCTGGTGGATGGCACGTGCGCAGTGTGTATGCCAAGCTTGTTTGCTGGGTTTGCCCTTGGATTGTGTGTGCTATTGGTCATGTTTGTCTAGTTTGTTAGTTTGTTCTGCGCTGTAGGCACTGTCGTCTTCTACCCCAAAACGCATCAAACCATCTCAAGATCTAAGACTCTCCGAAAATGGCGAGCAATGTACAAGATCCAGAAGCCGCGGCTAGGGGCACGCTTGCTCTGCTGGAAACTCGACTCCATCGACTGGAGTTTCTCCTAAGCGGTGCCAGCAATGATGATGGGATTCCGCCTCCAACCACAGCACCATCCTCCGGTAGCGAGACATTACGGGCCCAGCTGGATGCTCTCGACGCTGCACTGGCTAAGTTGAAGAAGCTCCCGGGCACACCTGGGTCAGTCGTACGGGATATTGAGCGACTATGTAGGTGACAGAGTTCAAGGACGGGGCATGCGCTGACCAAGCCCCCAAGCATCCCAGCACCCTGATTTATTTGCCGTAATGGCAACTACAACGCCCAAGTCTGAGGACATTAGCACGCTTGCCTCGATCGTTCTCGCCCATGCCACCCTATATCCCGAGACCGCGTCCAGACTCTCATCACTACAAACATTGCAGATTCCGCCTGCAGATCAAAGTTCGGCGCTGCTGTCACTGGCACCTCGACTTGAACAGCTCCGACAAGAGGAGCACCATATCCAAGAGGAAGTGCGAGAGCTGCGAGAGCGCAGTGCTAGATGCCTGGAATGGTGGGTTAAGATTGGAGTGGTCGGGATCGGAGACATGTGGGAAGATTGGGAGAGAAGGATCGCCGAGGTGGAGAGAAATCTCATCCGCGAGGAGCGACGCGCAAAGGAGCAGCAAGGATATCTATGAGTGCGCGAAGAATGACAAAAGATGGAACATGCAACACCATCCAGAGCCTTGTGTGATCACTGGTGCCTGAAACGGACTTCTTGAACCCGAATCATGTCCAGGTGACAACGGAACATCATGCAGTCATCTGGCGACAACATGATAAGTTGTCGTCATGATGACCAGAACAGGATTTACACGTAAGGCGATGTGGCAAGGTCAGGGTTCGCTCCAGGATTTTCAACACCTCGGTGGTGGCATAACAGCCAGCACGAGTCCATGCGAGACAGGTTTGGTGCGCGACTCCTCCTCCTTCTCCCCACAAAGATCGACACGAAAAAGTCCGCATGAGCGAAGTCCATGCTTATCGCGAGTCTTTTCATCGTGCTTTGTCTCGAGTCGGATCGGTTTGCCGTCTTTCTGAAAGGTAGAAAGCGAGTGTGCAGCCAACATCCTCATATGAGTGATCGCACTTCAAGTGTGGCTGAAGGATCGCTTACAAGCCTCTGTCGCCCCGAGACTAGGTAATTGCACCATGGGAATTGCGGGAGCGTGCATGTGGCGGTGCCAGGACCATCCATGTGGAGCCACTAGGATTGGTCGAGAACGATGGATCAGCGGCTGTCAGGGGTAGAGGCATGTCTCGTCCAATCGCCCAGTCTAGCGGGTCAGGCACCGAGGACCCAGTCGTGCCAGTTTCATTTCGACAAAAATGTGAGCGGAATAGACGACACCCGAGTCTCAGAGCCTGGTAAGCCATGGGGTTTGCCAGGGCGAAAAAGGGAATGCGTGGGACATGGTGTCAGAAGTGGTGCAAAAGTCCATCAGCAATAGCGTACATCAACCAAGCGAGCCACGGGAAAAATTCAAATTGGTCGATAATACCTACTAGTTAGAGATTGTTCAATCTTGGGCCAAATTGAGAAATTGAGAGGTTGCGTGCCACAAAGCGCTTGCATGGAGCGCGTGGCGTGTGCGACCCGGACAATGCAAAGTGGCCAACCGGCTGCGACGTGCCATTGATCCAGCGTCCGACGAAGAAGTTGAGGCTAGAAGAGTGGCGTCTATTAGCACTCGGTGCGATTGAACAAATAGAGGCCCTTACAAGTCTTGGGGGATTGCCAGTCGTAGACGCCACAGGAGCAGGGATGATAAGGAGGAATCTGGCGCAGGGTGCGGGTTCGCAGGGAGAAAAATTGTAAATCTCGAGGCAGAAGGACCAGAGACTGAATGTGGTTCGATCGACGCAGGGGTGGAGATTCGGGGCTGAGTGGGTTTTAACCGCAAGTGAAACGTGTTGCAGTTGCAGGGCTCCTGACTCTTAACTGGGGGGGAATTGGGCGTGCCTGGCTCTTGCCGGGTCTAACGGTCCCCATACGGTATAGGCGGCTTGCCGCGAGAAGGGAGCCCCCAAGAGAGAAAGGGAGGGGGGAATTGGCTGGCTTTGGGACACCCTGGGGAGCCAGGGAGCGTCTCTGCTTCTCCCTCCTGAACTCGATTCCTCACTCCTCAAACCACGACGACCATTTCTTCAACCACCAAAACATCCACCTCTCCGTCCTCGACCATCCTTTTACCACCCACGCTCGTTCAGGCAACAACTTTCAATCATCCTCGAAACTTCTTCCAAAACACCTTTTGTTCCTTTCTCACGTTATTTCATTCTTTGTCGATCGTTACCCTCCCCTTTTGCCGACTACACGCCATTGTGACCCTGCCTAACCACTCGTCCTGTATTCTTTTCTTAGCCACCAGTCACAAGATATTCGCCTCCCACCTTTTGTCGATTGATCGGCGACTGTGGTTGTTTGCCTCTCATAGCTTCGATTGTTCCTTTATCCGACACACGCCATCGCAGACCAACGAGTTTTGCGATACATACTACATACCGCACACGCCCGCACGCACGCGATCTCAAGTGCACGGCCGTCCTGTGCTTGGATCAATCCTCAACCCAGCCTGCGCCTGGACTTTTGACCTCACTCACGAGTCCACCCCTCTGTTAGCCACTCTTGACGATTTCATCCGCCTCGACTCGATTGCACTGGCCTCCCCGATCTGAAAAGCACTGCTATCTTTTGATCCTTCATGCCCCCATACGGATCACTACACTCTCCTTCATTAAAGAAAAACAACATGTTGGAAGCTCGAAAAGGAGGTCGAATTGATTTTGGCTACATTGTTGGCGATCCTTTTGCGTTGGCTACGATCTCCATTGGTTTGGTAAGAGACTCGCGCGACTTGTGCAAGACCATGGTGCTGATTTCATTGCCAGCTTGCTTGGTTGATTGCGTTTATCGGATCCATCATCGCCAATATCCAAGACCCTTTCCCCAAATATGCCTGGTGGACGGTTGCATACATGCTGTGCTGTATTGTCGGCATTACGATAGTCTTTGCTACAAACTCCACAAGCACATACAGCCTCGCGGTATGGATCCCCAATAACCGTTGAACCAAATATCCTAACAACGTGTAGATTGTTGGATACCTCGCGGCAGGACTTGTCATGACAACATCTGCAGTCAATTCCCTCGTCTACCAGCCACAGGGCGCCATGGAAGCCGCTGCTGCTGGCCACATTTTGCTCTCTATGGTTGCGGTGAGTCAATGGCTTCCCAAAACCTGTGTCTTTGCCTTTCGTGGTCGACTGACTCTGTCCAGATCATTTGGATTTTCTACTTCGGTTCAACACCTGCGGCAGCCCATCGCGAGTTTATTGACCAATTTGCCCTGCACAAAGAACGCCAGTCCTTCCGAGGACCCCCACAAAGTATGACCAATGTTTATGATCGCCCACAGACAACTGCTTCTGCTCAACCTCCTCAAATGTACACATCGGCGCAACTGAGCGGGTTTGAGACATCTTCTCCTGTTTCAGGCTACCCAGGCGGACCTGCAGGTGCAGCGGCCCGGGCCTCTGCACAACCGGCAGTCAACACCAGCGGCGCCCCCGCCCCAGTTCAAGAAGTCAGTCCACCCACCGAATATCCATACCGCGCCAAAGCCATCTACAGTTATGAGGCCAATCCAGACGATGCGAATGAGATCAGCTTCAGCAAACACGAGATTCTGGAAGTGTCTGATGTAAGCGGCCGGTGGTGGCAGGCCAAGAAAGAAAATGGCGAAACGGGTATCGCACCGAGCAACTACTTGATCCTATTATGAGACCAGAAACACCGAGGTTGATAAGGTTCTCGGGAGAGCTTGTCGCTATGAATGATGGCCGGTTACCATCAAGGTTCTCGACATCACACTAATGACCGGATTTGATGACATTGTATCCTTTTTCTTTCCTGCACATGACTTCCTGGATTCTATGGAGCTTACAGCGTGCGACTTCGACGCGGCATTGGTGCGCACCATACGGAACGCCAGTTTGTGCGAGCTCGATACCTTCCCCGGATTAGACAGGCCTGAGACAAAAGCAGCTATTGGAATCTACGGGTTGGCAATACGAGGTTTTTTGTGATTTGTTCTTTGTCAACTGGGCGACGAAACGGATGGTATGGATATGCCCGCGAGGGCTTGTACAGGCGTCATGGCGCAAACCCGGAAGGTGGTGAAGTGGTTTGAGCGACTCTGAGCTCTGCCAACTGTGGGAATTGGGACCGGGATTTGGCCTGGAATACCCCGACATTTCATTTCTTCCCGGTTTGTCAGGGCCAGAACGACGATCCAACACGGCAGGCCTCTTGTTCACGGCCAGAATTGATTTTTGGGAGCATACCATGTGTCGACACTTGGCTTGGGTGGGGTGGTACGTGACTGAAGAGCTTGGGTTTCTGAAGTTTGACGAATCGCGAGACTGCAGATTTTTGCAATGGACAAAAAACGAAACGAATCGTGACTGAACTATTTTGTTTTTCACAGGACAGAATCGACATTTTGAGCAACGAGACGAGCAGCGAACATCAGATCAGATAGCCCGAAAAGAAATAACAGAGGATTCCAAGATGGTTAGACGGTGCTGTCTTTTGCAGTCGTGCCTTTTTTGTTGTTGCTTGCCGTTGTGCTACACGACTCGATCCCAAACCGTAAGTCAAGGTACGAATACTCTATCTTGGATGCATGGTAGTGTATCCTGGAGCGAGAGCACATCTGCCTCCCTCATACGGAGTTCTGGTCGCCCAGTGGTCTATACCCGTAACCCCGGTACTGGTGCTGGTATCAGGACCCATACCCGTGCCCGTGCTCGTAGGATTGATAATGGTGACGTTGGTACCTTGCATGTATCAATGGCACTAGGTAGTAAGTTACATTTACTAGATACTCCCGAGTACCTCGCAGTAGTGGCCGGTAGTGTCTTGCTGCAAGGTTTCGTCATCACAAATACTCGGTGGTGTCGGTGCAAAATTGTTTGCGGTGCTTGTACCTCGTTCGTACATTCGAAACCCTTCTCTACAAAACCCAATTACGAGCAGGGTGATGCCACGCGGTATAACCCTGGACTCTGGAACAGTGTACGAGTAGGAAGGGGTACCGAGTATAGGAGCTTGCGTCATTGTATGTATCTGAAACGGGGGTTTTGCCTCTTCGCTCCGACCCAGTCAGTGGCATCATAACTGTTTTCTTCCAAATCTAGTCTATTCAGGATTCCAAATGATCCCAGACATTCTAAACCCTCCTGATAAACCTAAACAAGAGGGAGGGGGAAACGCTCGAACGCTTCATCCGTCATAAATTACAAGGACCACCAAATCTCTGCTTCACCACCGTCCCAAGGTTCATGTTTATCTTGAGCACAGAAAAAGGAGAAGCAAGATAAGCCAATGAGATTCGTTATCGCCCAGCCATCATAGGTTGGCTCTGACCATTGTATGTCCCCGGGTTATAACTCGTGTTGTAGTCATGGATACCCAACCCAGAATGGTTCAATGGGCTGGTGGGCTGCGCAGCAGGCATCTGTGCGAGGTCGTTGTCGTGATCGCTCTGGCGAATCGGTGCATATGAATCGTCGAGCGAAGGTTTCTGGTATTCATACTCCTGCCTGCCGCCCATACCAGGATGCTCGTCGAAATCTTCGTCATCGGTCCGCATATTACTTGAGAAATCATCCTGCGTTTGTGCAGAGAAGTCGTTCTTGCCTCCAGAAGCGGGGAGGTTCTGAGGCATCATGCCCGTCCTCTTGAACGTCATAACAGCTCGGAAGGAGATAATGGCCGTGGCGATGAACAGCAACATTTCAAACACGCCGAATACGATGATTGCTTCGGATAGCTTACACCGCCCGGGGCTGCCATACTTGAAGTTATCGCACCCTTTAGCATCCTTGTCTGTACTCTTTCCTTTGCCCTTTCCCGAGGAGACATAGCTGGCGACGGCAATCCAGGCACTGAGCCAGAAGATGACAGCAACAGAGTCTATAGCGGCGAAGGCATAGACGTTGGAGAAGCGGCGGGCGCGGGACCACATAGGGACCATTACGAGGTAAATGAGGATGGGAATCGTGAGCCAACACTGTACGTAGCTCTGTATCAGTCTGGTCCTTTCTCATACGGAGTGGGAAGTGGACGGCAGACTCACCAAGCCAAAGTACCAGCCGACCCGGCCATCCGTCGTGCCAGGTCTGGTCAGTAAGGCGATTGTCAGGACCCAGGCAAGGAAGAGAATGGCGCCCTGGCCCATGTGAATGTAGTTTTTGATCTGCCCGAATTGGTCTAATTGGAGCCTCATCTTTGCTGGAGGTGCCTAGACTTGAAGGTGTCTGCAAGAGATATTTCGAGGAGAGAATATCGAAAGACCCTCGGATAGTCTGCAACTCGGGAAGAATCAACGGTGAGGCTGGCGCAGTGCTGAAACCAGGTTGCCTTGTTTGTGTTACTCTGCAGTCGAGGCAAAGATAAATCGTCAGGCGGAAAGGACCGTTATTCGTAGGACGAAGGACAGGGACGTTGCTCAATAGGGAAGGAAGGACTAGCAATCGACAGATATACAAATGGCAAAGGACTACTATACAAAACTACAAAAGGAGTGACAATGGTGGTACAGATGTTGAGGTGAAGAGGCAGCAAGCGGCTGTGGGAAAACACGGGGCAAGGAGCAGCTGAGAGCCTGAGACGCGAAAAGTTGGGGGCGCAGCGCCATTGTGGCGTTGAAGCCTGAGTGCCTATCACTCACTCTATCTATCTAACTACTGGTAAGGCTGGAGGCTCATCAGGGCGCTTCATTATTATTCTTTGGCCTCCTGCAGCCTGTATATCACTTTCTCAACATATAAGGTTGAGACTGGGCACTGCAGCACTGCAGCTTCTGCCTTCCCTGGCCTCCCACCAAGATTGACAGGGTTCCCTCAAGAAAAAAGGGCAGCGTATTCGGCTTCATTTCGTATGATCACTCCAAGTGGGAACTATTCCAGCTCCATGGCCCGAGCATGGCGTGGGATTCGCAACCGATGCCTAGATCTACCAATACAGATGCGTGACAGATTGGGCGTTCAAATCAAGGCCAGACGCCTTCGTTAGATCTTCTCCCTGCTGCCAACACATATTGCCCTGGTTGATATACAGTCTCAAGAAGCTATGTAGACGCACTGTGGATGAGTGGCGCCTGACTTTGTAACTGTCAACAGCCGATCTGTTCGGTTGCCTTGTAGCATCGGGTTCATGCAGCTATAGGGGATGCTACTAGCATGGCTCTTGAAAAAGGTTGGCATTTCTGGAAGACGAGGCTGCTGGTATTTGTTTGCTCCTCTTCGGATGTTCACCTGGTCTCCATCACACTACTCCGTTTGTGAATGTTCGGCCACCTCTTTGACAACGGTTCCCAATGTCCGTCCATTGATTGGCGTGCCGCTGTCTGCGAGGCATCTGGTTAGGAGATCCCAGTAGGTCGGTATGGTGCGGGTCAAAGGAGGCGTCTGTCAGGTACAAGTCTCTCGTAGGTGTCCATGCAAGCAATAATTGACTGGTGGAGAAAGGACCAAAATGCAGGGCTCATCAGGCTAGCTGCAACTGGGGCAAGGAGGCGTGGGAGTACATCACTTTGGGCACGCGAGACGAAGAAGAGCTGATGTTGACCATGCACCCTTGGTTGCCATGCATGCATGCATCCAGCAGTTTTTTTTTTCGCCACGGCCTGGCATCTGACATGGGGCTTTGCGTCCTGCACTTGTCACCCACTCACCCACGGCTAGGGCCTTTGTTAATGTCCGTTAGTGTCACCGGATGTCATTGGCGCTTACCCTCTTTTGGTTCGCGTCCGTCCGTTTAGGCCCGCCGATTCGTCACTTCCGCGTCACTAAATGGATCCCACCGCTATTGCCGCTAAACAATTAATTTTCTCTCGGCCAGCAGTCAAAAAGGCCCCTTTGGAATTTCCCTTTCCTTTTTGTCTACTCATCAACCAGTTCATCCTTCGACTGATCACAACGCGAGCTCATCTTCAAACAATCCTTTGAATCTAGGGCACTTAGCTACCCTTTACACCCCTCCGTCAATTGATTCCCAAGGCAGCCCTTAGCTACCTGAGTCAAGTTCCCTTCCACAAGTCCCCATTTCAAACCACTTGTCAACAACACCAACTTGTGCCTCAGCCACAATGTCTTCTGCCGTAGACGCCTTAGCCGAAAACCTCAAGAACGCCAGCATCGAGGATACCTCTGCTGCCAACAACGAGAGCGTTCTGGCCTCTGCTGCCGAGGGCCGGCGTTTGTACATTGGGAATCTCGCATATGCGACCACTGAGGCGGAACTCAAGCAGTTCTTTTCTGGCTATGATGTGTAGGTGGCAACTTCTGGGCTTCTATCGCATCCATGTGTCTGACTTTGTTCCAACAGCGAGTCAACTTCAATCCCCGTCAACCCTCGCACCAACCGCCCAGTAGGCTATGCCTTTGTCGACCTCAAGACTGCAGAAGAGGCGGAAAAGGCGATCGAGAACCTCTCCGGCAAGGAGATTCTCGAGCGCAAAGTCTCTGTCCAGGTTGCTCGCAAGCCTGATCAGGCCACAACCCCCGAAGGTACTGCCGAAGGGGCAGACGCAGACCGAAAGAGATCCGCTGGTCGCGGTCGTGGTGGACGCGGACGTGGCCGGGGTGGTCGTGGCCGTGGAGGCGCAAGAGGCGCTGCTGTACGTGATGCGACAAATCATTTTGACCCTTCCGGAACCTGCTGACTGATTTCCTTGTAGGAGGGTGGTGCACCTGCCACTGACCTCGCAGAGAACCCTCTTCCCTTGACGGATGTCACTGCCGATGCCAACAAAGCCGCTCCAGCAGCTGATGCCAAGTCTCGCACTCCCCGCCCCCCCAAGCAACGTGGTCCCCCGGAAGATGGTATTCCATCAACCACCAAGGTCATGGTTGCCAACTTGCCCTACGACCTGAGCGAGGAAAAGGTAAGGACCCCATACCCCGTCGCAGTGATAGAGTATGCTAACCCTTGTATTTAGCTCAAGGAACTCTTCGCCGCTTACCAACCCAGCTCTGCTAAGATCGCCCTGCGTCCCATCCCCCGATTCATGGTCAAGAAACTTGCGGCTCGCAACGAGCCTCGCAAAGGCCGTGGCTTTGGCTTCGTGACCCTGGCCTCGGAGGAGATGCAGAAGAAGGCTGTGGAGGAGATGAACGGCAAGCAGATCGAGGGTCGCGAAATCGCGGTCAAGGTCGCCATCGACAGCCCAGGCAAAGAAGATGGTGCTGGTGAAGCAGGTGAAGCCGGTGAAGCCACCGAGAACGGCACCAACGGCACGACTGAGGAGGTTGCTGCCGCTGCTGCCTAAGTGAAGAACATGAGCGCAAACATCGATCGACAAAAGCACAAGATGAAGGAAGGACGATATGCTTTTAGCAAGGCATGCTTTTATTGGGAAGAGATGGGAAGGCTTAACTGCTTTTTCCAACTGCACCTTTGAAGAAGTGATGCCCGAGGCTGAAGTATCGGAACGACTAGTCAAGGGAGGTTGACGGATCAGCCCACACGACAACCATATCTTTCTTGCCTCCGTGGCTGTATCTTCCAATACCTAATAATATTCCTACCAACAGCTCAGGCTATTGTTGCATTGTGTTTCGGATTGACTTGTTTTTAGACTGCTCATGGAAGGTGGAGGCAACTATCTGTAGAGGCTGGGGAATCTGGATGTGATGGTTCCTCCGTAGCGCGGCAAAGAGATGCAGCTCGCGCCTCGATCGACTTCATTTCATGCACGCTTATATGCTAGATACAGGAGACTAAGGAGGAGGCGTTCCGTTCCTCCCTCCACTCGACGATCGAGGCCCACACTGCAGCATCGTCGGTTTCTGGATCGGAGTCGTGGCGGACCGCTCCTCTCTTTCTCTCCTCTCCCCACCGCCCACCCACTTCTGGCATGGTATGTTATCGGCCCACCAGCTGATCAAACAGTCGACCGAGGGAGATGTTTGTCGCTGATATACCAAGTACGAAGCACAAGTACGAGTGAATAGGGCGGTTAAGTGGCTGGCTGGCTGGTTGGTTTGACTCGGTTGCGCACTAGTCTACTAGACCACTAGCCCCTTTTTCGGGACAGCCTTGTCCGCAGAGTACATATGCCAGAGGGAGGGAGGAAGGAAACAGGGGAAGGGTAAAAGGGAAAAGGGAGCGGGATACATGTACATGTACTTGTCGAGAATACTGATGCATTCCACCTGTGTTTTGTTTTCATTGTCACTACCTAGAATCTCGCGTGCTACTTATAAACGAGTGTCGTTGATCGTCACATATGAAAAAATAACCATACTATATCTGTTTCATCCCACACATGTACATCAACAAACCTAACCCATCTTGCTCAACCTCTTCCTCACCGAGTCACCAAAGCTTTCTTCAGTGGAAAACAGACAACCCACTGACCAAACCTAGCCCGAGAACGACACCTGCTTGGGCGCCGCCAGCCCCATGTTGAAATACACCGTCTTGACGTGCGTGTAATTGTCGAGGGCCTCGCCGCCGAGCTCGCGCCCGATGCCGCTCTCCTTGTACCCGCCAAAGGGCATGCTCCAGTGCAAGAAGTTGAACATGTTGACCCAGGTGGTGCCGGCTTTGAGTTTTTTCGTGACGCGGAGCGCCCGCTGGTAGTCGTTGGTGTGGACGCCCGCGGCGAGGCCGTAGCTGGTGTCGTTGGCCGCGCGGAGGACTTCTTCCTCGCTACTGAATTTGGCGATGACGACGACGGGGCCGAAGATTTCTTCTTTCACGATCTGGAACCCCCGAGTCAGCGTTTGTGGGCAGCAGAACGGGGGGGTTTTCGTTTTGGAGTCGAGCGTATTCTTTGCTTACCTTCATCTCCGGAGTGACATCTGTAAAGATGGTCGGCTCGATAAAGTACCCTCCGTCCTTGGAGATGGCGTGTCCCCCCAGATGCAGCGTCGCCCCCTCTTGTCGGCCCACGTCAATGTAGCCCAGGATCTTCTCGTACTGGGACTTGTTGATCTGCGGCCCTTGGTCCGTCTGGTCGCTAAAGTTGCTGCCGACCTTGACGGCGGCCAACTTTGCGGTAAAGGCCGCGAGGAAGGCGTCGTAAATGTCCTCGTGCACGTAGATGCGCGTCCCCGCGTGGCATACCTGGCCGGCGTGGAAGTCGATGCCCAGGACGGACCAGTCGACGGCTTTTTCCAGGTCGGCGTCGGGGAAGATGATGTTCTGTGGTTGGGTAGTTGTCAGCTTCTTGCTGGGGGCCAAAAGGCTAAAAAAAAAAAAGGAAAAAGGAAAGAAAGA